AACGACATGATGAATATCCTGAGAATCATGCACATATATTTTATAGATTAAACACTTTTGAATTTAACTGTTAATATTGATATCCTCAAAACAACATTAACTTAAATCCACCGATATCTATTACACTTTGTGAGAATGCATGCTATGAGGGTCGCCCTACAAACTCGCATTTTGTAAGAGAAGGGCTTTTCTAAGGCCCATTAATTTCCATAAGTCAAAACAAAATTCATGACGAACGAAATTAATAGTCGGTCTCCATTTGGCCATGCAATAGAATTCAGGGACCCCGAGGGGGGTTAATAAATTTAATCACATTCTAAGTGAATCCCATTTCTCGGTCCTAAGGTCGTCAAATTTGATTATACGTCATCCGAGGGGAAGCCCGTACGCTCTCATAGGATTTCCTCTAACCGTCTACTTTTAGAAATTTGTCCTGGTAATTTCCTACAATTAATTTTAGCAATGTTACCCGAGGGGGAGCCCATAACCGCAATTAATTGATTTACCGACAAATTAGAAATGGAGGCCTTAGGAATTTTACTATTAACTTTAATTTAAAATCCTTTCTCAAACTTCGTATTATTTTAATGAGGATTTTGAACTATTTATACAATTCCAAATTAATATATGTTAATGCAATAATTAATAAACATGCATATTAATTCATGCAATTCTAAATTAGTCAATTTCAATGCAATAATTAATTAACATGTACAATAAATTATGTAATCCTAAATTAATCCATGACAGTGCAATAATTAATTACATGCATAATTATTGACACAATTCTAAATTAATCCTATGCATTACATAATTAATTAACATGCATAATTAATCTTGTAATACAAAATTAATCTCATGCAAGAACATAATTAATTAACATGCATAAATAATAATTTAATGGCATAATAAATTTTATTAAATAAATAAATAAATCCACTATTATGGCCATTAAATATTGAGTCTCCTTAAACAAGGAAACTGTGACAGCTCTTTCCTTGTTCAACTGGAACTCCTTTAAGCAGTAGAATCCTGGTTGATCTTGTACTGCTTGATCATCAAGGCAAAAACGAACCACCAGCTGCCGCTACCAGTCTGCCGCCGCTGCCTGCCAGTTCGCCGGAAAAAGCCACCGTTTTTTTTTCTTTTCTTTCTTTTGAGGCTCGTTGATCTCTTGTGATCTCCTTGTCATCAACACACGATCACAACACGAAAAATATAATTTACAAAATTACATAATTCGATCCTAGATCCAACGAATGGATGTACATGTTTTCTAAACAAATAAATAAATCTACCCGGTCAACCCCTGGACGAATAATTATTACAACCAGATCTCGTTATGTACAAGTCACGAATTCAATAGCAAACGTAAACTTATGCGCAGCGGATCTAAAGGTTTGACGTGGAGAACTTACGGCTTAAAATTTATGTAGATCTAGTTGACCAAGGACGGTTGACCGCAAATCACGTCTTGGGTTGCACGAACAAAATCAGATCAAAATCGGATCAAACGGATGCAAACAGATCAAAACGATACTTTGCAGCCTGGGAGCTTCCGGCGGCGCGTGAGGGCGCATGAGGCGTCGTACGGCTGCGATCTTAGCGGCGATGGAAAGCTCTCGTTGAGACGGTCGTCTGGGTATTCTGTACGTCTCAATCGGACTTCTGGTTAGTTCTGTAGGTCAAAATATATTTCGTCTCGGTTTACTTACAGATCTTTAACTGTATTACTCAATACACCTTTCTTCTACTTGTACCAGTGGAGCAACAAGAAGAAGATAAAGCTCGAATAAGATCTAGAGAGAGAGAGAGGCGTGGGGCGTGTCTCATGTTAGAATAGGATTCTCTTCTCTTCTCATGAGCTTAATGATGTATATATAGAGCTACAGTAGGGACCCTTAGGAGATTAGGAAAAGGGTTCCTTAATTAATTAGACTAACTGTGGGCCAAGCCCACTCCTCTAATTAATTAAATAATATTAATAGGCCACCAACATTATATTATTGTACTCCCTCTTCCTAGCCCAAATTACATTTGAGACTCCAATAATAATTACTCGATTTACCTCCCAACGTTTAAGATATAATGTCTATTAATTAATTCGCTTACTGATAATCAAGAATTAATTAATTTATTATTATTTCACCGAAGCTAGCGCTCGTTCATCACATTCTTATTATGCCGGACTTAATCCACCTGCAGGGTTTAGCATAACAATGCTTCATGAACTCACTCCGGGGACATCATCAAACTAACGCACATGGTGACCGTAAATATCCTAACAGCACATCCTATATATAATAATATTACCCAAAACAGTAGGAATATTAATCCAACGAACTGAACCTCACCCATGTGAATCAAAGTAATATATATTATATATATCTGCTGTTTAATATCTTACGAATTAAGAGAACGCAGTAATTAACCGAGGCCTAGTTCATTTACGACGATCAGTATAAAATGAACTTCTCCTCTCTGGGATCCTGTTCAATATATAAATGTACTAGTGCAACTAATCCGTCAAAACAATCTGTACAGTTGACACTACAACCGTTCGGATGGGGTGTTCATGTCCATCTAGGTTGTGAACAACTATTCTTGTTCGCAAGTGACTGATAGAGTGATCTTCGGTTCGCCCGATGACGACCCACCCTATCTAAGTGCAGAACAACAGAACGTAGAACTTGTTTAATCTAACATGATTCTCATTCATAAAGGGTAAATGTGTAATAACATGCAAAGCCAAACTTTCAGTATATAACACTAACACTTAGTTCTTACACTAAGAAGGGTTTTTATTAGAACTGCATATATATATATATATATATATATATATATATATATATATATAGTTAATATCACATGAGAATGGTAGATAGTGAAAGAAATAAGAATGATTTTGAACCAATGGATCCAACATATGAATGGTCATGAATTAAATAATGATAAATCAGTCAATGGCAACTCCGTAAATAAGTAGACATACTGTGGTCAAATGTCTAAATTTACCCACTTAGTAAGGACATTCTAGTCATTACACATTCATCCTTTATTCATGTGGGCCCCACCAATCATAATACAACTCACCTCTCTCTCTCACACACACAAACATACACTCTTAACACGACTCACTTCTCTCTCTCACCCGCACTCACGGGACACTCACACACACAGTCGCAACATCGCCGGTGACCACCTTCCTCCCGCCGGCGGTGTCACCGGCCACCACCTTCCTTCAGCCCGCGTCATTGCCGTATTCAACCAGTTGATGTCGATAGCCACCGGGTGCAGCTTGAGGCGGCCAAATCCGGCATTGACCAATACAAAATATGCGGCCACCGGGTGCAATATAACGGTTACTACGGTGCAATTCGTTCAACAATATGGTGCACGGTGTTGGTCTGTATTGTGCATATTGAACTATACGGTCATTTGTCCCAACATCAAATTGAAAATGAACATAATCAATTGGGTTATTCGGTTCGGTTAACCGAATTATTCCAATTAAATCGAAATAACTTTTTCATTTATATCAAAATTATAATTAATATATCAATATTTTTATTTATTATTTTTATATTATTTTTAGGTTGACAAAATTTTGTGTTCGTCCAATTTTTAAAGTGCAACGTGTTGTTTTGTAAAGTGCAACGCGTTGTTTTATAAAGTGCAAACTGGTGTATAAGGTGACTTACTGTAATTTTGGTACGTTGACATGCTCGTATTTTGTGTGGATAAATGATTTGATTGATGTTAAAGTATTATGTATATCCGTTTTTTAGATTTATATTGTATGGTATTTGGCGGGACATATTTCACTTTAATTGTAGAGTGTGATGATAAAGTGCAACGCGTTGTTTTATAAAGTGCAGCGTGTAGTTTTATAAAGTGCAAGTTGATGATATATAAAGTGCACTAATTTATATGATCACGTATAAATTACGTGTTTTTGAAATCTAGAATTAGTAGATATAATTGTATATTGAAATAACTAAAATAATGTAAATAAATTATTATTATTATTATTATAAAATTATATTTATTATTTTAATATTTTTATATATTATAATTTTACATATTCAATTTGTTAAACATTATTTCACTTTATTTATCATTAGCATGAATTTATGAGAATAATTTAAATTTAATACACATTTATATTTTAAAAATATATGTAGGATATTAATATTTTATATAATAATTTTATACTATTCTAGGCTTATAATACATAATAAATATTTGTTATTTAATACAGGTTGAGTTACATCTTGTAACATTCCATCTTAATACAGGTTGAGTTACATCTTGTAACATTCAAAATCTATAAAGTGCAATCGAGCAGGCAATAATGTGCAATATGTCTAACATTATTGTGCAATCCAACTAACTGTAATGTGCATTCTACATTATTATATATTTTAATTTTCATCTTTTATACTAAAATAATTGACATAGTTTATTATTTATATTATAAAAATTCAGTTATTAATTCAAAAACATTCTTTTGTATTTTATATTATGTTTTATATTACTTTAACATTTTAAGTTATTTTATTTAATGTTTTTATACATTATTTTAATATATATGATACAAAATTATAAAATTAATATCTATGTATAATATTCTTGTAAATTACAGATTTACCTAGGTACTAAATTGAAATATATTCAAAATTCATAAAATTTCAATCAAGTCCTTACACATTATCTAATTCTCATAAAATTGCCCCATCCCCTCCCCCTCACTTCTGTTCTCTCCCCTTCACCCCCGCCGTCAGCCTTCTCCGTCCGGTGACGGCCGGCGTCGCCTTCTCCGTCCTGTAGGGGACTTGCCGACGCAGACGGCCTTCTCCGGCTGGTGTTGCCAGAGAAGACGACCTGCTCGAGGTCGGATTTAAGATCCAGTTCTGGTGAATGAGAAGAAACGGCGGCGATGACTTTCGTGTTCTCGGGCATCGTCGACGTCGGAATTAAGAGGCGGCATTGACGGCTCGATGGCTACGACGGCGGTGTGCGGTGGCCGGTGGTGAGTCTGGTAGAGCAATGTGTGTGTGTGCGTCGTGTGCGTGCGTGTGTTTGAAAGGTGTGCGTGTGTGTGACGCCGGACAACTACGGCGGGCGGCGGATCTGGGATGGCAAGGCGGCGCTGGGCGATGTCGGAGATGACCGGGTGGTGGCCGTCGGTTGTGTGTCGCCGTCTGTATCTGTGCGTGTATGTGTGGGTCTACGTGTCTGAGTATGTATTGTGTGTTGTGTGTGTCTGCATGTGTGTATGTGTGAGAGAGATAGTGAGATGGGGTGGTGAGAGATGGGTGGGGTGTGTTGACCGAGTGATTAATTAATTGGGTAGTTGGTTGGTGGATTAATGTGTAGTGGGCCCGCATTTTTTGGGTGATTTGTAGAAAATTACCAAATTAACCTTAATGAAGGTATAATTTTGATTTGTTTTTAATCCTTAGATTATCCGATCTAGTGGCTACAATTTATTCTCATTTCTTTCACTAAGCACCATTCTCATGTGAGCGCGACCCTATATATATACATATAGAAGTGCGCTCAAATGAAAGTGAAACACTTTGAAAGAAATAAGAATGATTCTGAACCACTGGATCTATTCCATCAATGACCATGATCAAGTCAAACTTTAATAAATAATGATCACTCATTAATGGCAATGTAGTAAATAAGTAGTAATATTATGGTCAAATACATGTATTTGAGCACTAATTAAGGGTAAATGAGTCAAAATAAATAATAACTCATCCAGTGGGACCCACACCCACCATCATGAAAAACCACCGGTCACCTACCCCATCTTCCCTCTCTCACACACAACACACACACAGTAACTTTACACCTACCCCTTCCCTTCTCTCTCACACACAACACACACTCATTTTACAAAAACACACACACACACAATCGCTGCACACTCACCACACAAACAGATCCCGCCGGCAACCAACATCACCGGTGCCGGGAAGCCCCAGACAGCCGCCGCCGACGCCGTAGAGTCGCCGCCGCCATATTATCCGATCGCCCGACTCCCCTTAAAATCAGCTTCTGTTTGGTCGGGTGCCGTCGGCAGCGGGATTCTCCGACGAGAAACAGTCGGATGTCATTCACGGCTTCTAGTCCCGACGCCGCCTCAACCAGCTACAACCACCGGCCAGTCGAGCTCAACGACGGACTTCACGGCGAGGGACACCATGCCGGCTGCAGATGGCCGATTCGGAAATTGTCTTCAGGGAAGAAGAATTCGTTTGGAGCAGCACATGAATTGGAGTCGGTGTCGGTTGATAAATCTTGGGAGGTGAGGGTGTTGGCGGCGGCCGGAAGGCACTGACGGGAATAATGTGTTGGGGATGAGGGGAGTCAATCGTTTCTCATAAGTTAAGCTTGATTTGGGGTTTCTATTTTGAAAATTAGATAACCTTGAGGGACCTATTTGTAATTTTTGAAGATTTGGTATATTGCATTTTTAGGCATGGGTAAATTTACAGATTAACAAAGAGTTTAATCAATGCACAACAATGTGAAATTTAATGCACCATACTATGTGAAAATATGCACATTAAAAAAACTTGTTATATTATTACGATTTTCTTTTTACTAATACTATTGGGTACTCACATTAGACATTTTCTAATGATTTATCTCAAATTAAATTAAAATTGAACCGAAATAATCGATTTATTTGATTTGTTAACTGAATTAAATTACCCTAAATAATTGAAATAATTCATTGTGTATATTATTAAAACACATTTAATATTTTATAATATTTGTGGTTGAAAATCCATAATATATAAATAAAAAAAAAATTATAATGTGCATCATTACATGCATTAATGTGCAATTCGTGTAACGTTATTGTATATAATAAAAATATATTTAGCATTTTTTTATAATTATTTAATATTATATACTATGATTTGGCGAAAAAAAATATATATGCATATAAAATATAAGAAAATTAATACATTTTATATAGTTTGGTCGGTTATATATATGTTTGTAAATAACTCAAAACCGACGCAAAATAACCAAAATTCTATTATATGTGAAAATACATATTAGCATAACAACATATTGTTTTTGTGCATTTCGAATGCATTAATGTGCACGTTGTCTAACATTATTGTGCAGTCCAACAATCATTACTGTGTAAATTGTTTAATACGATTTTTCATTATGCAGTGCGGTTTTAATACTCTTGTGCATTTTGCAGTGTAACAATCACTACTATGCATATTGTTTAATATTATTTTTTAATAATATTGTTTACTTTTTTATTAGTATTTGTTGAAGATAAATAATAAATAGATAAAATGTATAAAAAAACAAATTTTATATAGTTCGATCAGTTTAATTATTTTGTTTTTCTTTTTTTGTTTTTGTAGATAAATCCCAAAAAATATTCAAAATTAATAATATATTTAGTATATTTAAGAATTTTATTTAATATTTTTATACTATTTCGTTTGAAAAATTACTAGTGCGTATCCCGTGCGATGCACGGGTAAATAATATTAAACAATAATTATAAATAGATCTCGAGTTCGAGTCACCCAATGAAAAAAATGGGGAACCACTGTTGATCCTCTCTTAAAAGAGCAAGAGAAAAAATATTATAAATTAAAAATGAGGGTAAACGATATTAAATAATAATTATAAATCAATGATGTGTAGTTAACATGTCATATAATTTATGATATATCAATTTATTATAAACAATATAAAATTAGCTTGTTTAAGAGAATATAAAATTTATATGTTTAAAATATTAAAACTCATAGAATATTATTTTAACATATGTCAAAGTATCTAAAAGTTTTTATATTATTATTATAAGAAAACATGTAGAAAAAATTGAATTTCACATTTATATGAAAGACATTTTATAAACTTTTTTCTGTAAATAAAACATGCCTAAAAATATTTAAAATAAATATGTATATGTATATGTATATATAGATAGAATATGATATAAAAAAATATTATATAAAAATATCTAAAATATTATAAGCCTAAATAGAGACATTATAAAATTTTTGAGAGAAAATTTTCCTTGTATATATATAAAATAAATATTGAGATGATAACCACAATGTGTAGATGTGTAGATAATATGCACGTGTTTTAATAGATAACCACAATGTGTAGATGTGTAGATAATATATTTTGTTATGATCTTATTCCATATATAATATTTATATTCAATGAGGGATACTGAATTTAAATTTAAACTTCGAAATTTTACCATCTTTTATATGTGATTATTTATTCTGCCCGATTTTATGGCAATCGAATTGCAAGAAATTTGAAATTTAAATTATCAATTAAATATTGCATCCGATTTTCATTGCAATTAGTTTTTTTCATATAAAAGGAGAAGATATAAAGTTTGCTAATATGCCTGATTTTTTAATATGACCGATTTTTAATATTTAATTATATAAAATAAGATATGATATATAATCTAAAAAACTCTAAAGCTTTACAATTTCTTTTATACTATTTTGTATATGCACGTGTTTTAATAGATAACCACAATGTGTAGATAATATATTTTATTATGATGTTACCCCATATATAATATTTATATTCAATAAGGGATATTGAATTTAAATTTAAACTTCGAAATTTTACATCTTTTATAAGCGATTATTTATTTTTTCGGATTCTATAACAATATTGCAAGGAATTTTGAAATTTAAATTTTCAATTAAATATTGCATCCGATTTTCATTGCAATTAGTTTATGAATATAAAAGGAGAAGATATAAAGTTTGTTACTATGTCTGATTTTTTAATATGACCGATTTTTAATATTTAATTATATATAATAAGATATGATATATAATTTAAAAACTGTTGCAATTAGTATAATAATATTTAATTTTGAGGTAATTTATTTATATAAAAAAACTCTAATACTGTGTTTCCTAATTAATAATATTCACTCAATTTAATGTCAACAAAAAATTAAAGAATAGTAAAGTTTTAATTTTAAATTCGAAATGAGAGTTGATTTACAATGCAATCGATTTTTTTTATTTTATTTACAATGATATATGTTGTTTTTTTTAAATAAAAAAATGAGTCAGCTTGTTCATGTTTATCCATGCCTGTGAATTAGATACACAAAAACATAGACCATTTAAGGCCAACTGATTTTTTAGGAAGTGAATTAAAACGTAAAATAAAACAATTAGCTGAAAATAGTATGTAATTAATATGGGTTGACTTTTTCTTGTTACTATTTATAGTAAATATTGATTCTTATTATATATATATAGATATAATTAATATATGAAATACCAATTTAATGTCGTGCATTACCACATACAATAATGTATGCAATATATTGTGCGTGCAGTTGTTTATGTGCATTTCAATTTTTTTCTTAAAAAAAACTTTAATCATGTGTATTATAAGTAAATGATAACGCAATTATCATATTATATACATAATAAGAATATTCTAGTATTTATATTTCTTATTGATTATTCTGTATTTTTTTATGTTGAAAATAAATAATATATATATATATATATACATAAATTTTAAAAGTAATATATTTTTATATGTATACTTTTTATGCTAATGTGCATTATTATATGTACTAATGTGCATTTTAGTCTTACTCTATTGTGCATTTTATATTCCGTGTATTTTTTATATGTGCATATCCAAACGTGATATTTGTGTATTTCTACTTATTATTATGTCTTTATTAAACTTTTGATAAATTACAATTTTAACACGTTGGCTAAATTGCAATTTAGTGAAAATTTCTGATTTAACAAATAGGTCCTCATATCTTATCTAATTTTCCAAACGAGGGCCTCCACAGTCCACAACCATAACCATTTTTGGGATGCGTGCAGCTGCCTTTTCAAATTCCCCGCCTCCTCGTGCCTCTCCCGGAGCTCCGCCGCCACCTCCACCACCTCGCCCCTTCCCTGTCGCCGTTCACGACAAAGTTTTTCCACCGCACCATCTCCAGTACTCAGCGCCTATTTTCTCCCATAGGTCACTGAATCGGGACATAGACTCATTGAGCTTACTCTGGAGACCGTCGACGATGGTTGTACGGATCCGATCGGAGGAGCTGCCGAGACTGAACCTAGGGAGATGGCGACCGATGACGTTGGACAATTCAGGGACTCGAGGGTGGATTTTATTACTTTCCTCCCTGAGAGCGGCGGTTATGCGGCTTCGATTCCCGACCAAAGGTCCCTGACAGCGGCAGAGGTGTTGATCGTTGGGAGGAGAAGAGGCGGCTTTGGATGGTTTTTAGGCCCGCGGATCTCGTTCTTGGCAGCTTCCACTTGATCGAAGAAAACATCAAGGCTATCGGAGTGTTATTTCGTCGGCGGCGACGGAGTAGGGTGACGGGTAGAGGCGGCTGTGTGGGGCTGACTGGCTGAGGCCTGAAATTTTGAGAAAGTGATTTGGGGGAGGGATACATGAAGAAGAAGATATGTGTGAGAGATGGAATTGTATGTGAGAGAGAATAGAATGGGATGGAGAGTGGTATGGGGCACGTGTATGTGTCTGGTACTAGGTAGATTGACAATTATATCCTTTATTAATGTGTATTCTTGGTTTATTTTTTGCTGTTGGATCATCTCATCCGATGGATACGGTGTATTCTTATTTCTTTCATTCAGTATCATTCTCACCGGAGCGAATCCATATATATATATATATAGATTGGTTCCAATGCATCCACTTATTTAAAGTGAGGACGTGAGACTCATTTTTAGCCACAAGATTTGGTATATATCATGTGTGGCCAAGATTTACTCTTTTCTTTTTATTATTTTAATTATTTAAATATTATTTTGACCCGTTGACTCCGACGTTGACCGTTGACTTTCGACGTTGACCGTTGACTTCCGGCAAAATCCATTGACTTCCAGCGTTGACCGTTGACTTCCGTAGTTGACCGTTGACATCCGGCGTTGACTCACACGTTGACCGTTGACAACTAATCGTCCAACTAGGTTAGTTCTCTGTAGTTGCTAGGTTAGTTCTCTCTAGTTGCTAGGTTAGTTCTTTGTAGTTTCTAGGTTAGTAATTGCTAGGTTAGTTATCTATAGTTGCTAGGTTATTATTCTGATGTTGCTAGGTTAGTTGTCTGTAGTTGCTAGGTTAGTTATCTTTTGTTGCTAGGTTATGTTGTCTTTTGTTGCTAGGTTATTTTCTTTCTTGCTGCTAAGTTAGTTGTCTTTTGTTGCTAGGTTAGTTATCTTTAGTTGCTAGGTTAGTTGTGTTTTGTTGCTAGGTTAGTTGTCTGTTGTTGTTAGTTAGTTATTTGTAGCTGCTAGGTTTGTTGAGTTTTTGTTGCTAATCAACAGAGTCTCACAAGCAAACTAAAACAAAAAGAAAATAACAATACAAAGTCTATCTTCGGGCTAACAGGTGCCCGGCAATACAAGTCTACTCGAATCAAAGCAATAAACCTAAACTATCGAAAGCGGAACGATGGATATCCAAGCTCGTCCATCTGTATAAGTGTGCGAAGGCGGATTGGAGCAGTATCGGTATGGAACGTACGTTTCTGGTATGGTACGCCAAGGCTGGCAAGATAGTCACCAGGTCTGTTCCCCTCACGGAAAATGTGCGTGATCCTGTGATGAACAGACCGAAGTAGAGCTCTAATGCGCATAAGCGGGTGCTGAATCTGCCACGAGCCCTGGTGGCCCGAAGTCAGGAGGGTGGTGACAGCCAGCGTCTAGCTCAATCCAAATATGGCTAGAGAGGTGGACAGCAATCTGAAGGCCGATTTGTAATGCCTGAATCTCTGCATCGTAGCTCGAGGATACCTGAAGGGGCGCGTGGAAGGCGGTGATGAGGGCGCCGCTGTGGTCCCGAATCAAGCCTCCTCCTCCGGCAACTCCGGTATGACGTTCAAACGAGCCATTAGTGTTCAGCTTGACCCACGGAGAGTCAGGTCGAAGCCAAACAACAGCTCTGGCCCGAGGAGGCCGAACAGGCGGTGGGGGGGCCACTATGTAACGGTGTGGCGGCGTGCAGCCTGTCCAGTCTCGGGCCGTGAGCCTGCCCAATGCTATGAGGAGTGAAATATGTCTCTCTTCCTGCAAAACAATGTGAGAAAACAAAAAAGTAATATCCGTATGCTTCGTACTATTCCTCTCTGTCCAGGTGAACCAAAGGATCAAACAAGGAATGAGGAAGCCCACGTGTCTAAAGTGTGTGCTCTGTGAGATAAAACTTAGGAGCTCAAAAAAACTATATGTGGTAGGTAGGGATATATGTGTCCAAGTGGCGAAATGCTCCCACACTCTCCTCACAGTCTCACTCTCTAGAAAATGGTGGGAAAAGGTCTCGGTCTCATGGCGTCCAGTCTCAGAACAACACACACACCGAGAGGGGAAGGAGAAACCCCTCGCGTGTAATACAGTATCCACGGGTATCCGGCGCAAGAGGCGGCGCCAAAGGAACACCAAAATGGTAGGGGTGAGAAGGTCGCTCCAGATGGCGCCGAAGAGAAGATTAGGCCGATCTCTCAGCCTGATCTGCTCCCAAGCCGAGGTAGTAGAAAACACACCCGATGATGTAAGTCTCCACCTCATGCCATCCGAACCGTCCCCCGAGATGGGGATCTGCTGGATCTGATCTAGAACTGCTCGCTAAAACCCGCCCCCAGAGCCCAACTCCCTATCTAGTTTCCCCCTATCCTACGACCCGCCCGTCCAAAGGTCGCTCACAAGCAGGTAGGGGGAATGCGACACATGCCTATCCTTAGACAATGGCCTATCACCAACCCACCACTCATCCCAGAAACTAACCTCGCCCTCGCCAAAAACCCAGAAGATGTGATCCTGGCCGCGCTTACCGACCCTAGTGAGGCGCCGCCACTGTCTGCTATCATGATCAACTGCCGTCACCCAACAAGGGTGGTTGGCACGTCTAGGGCAGTACTTGCCGCGAAGGTACTGAGCCCAAAGCGACTTTCCCTCCCTGAAGTGCCACCACAGACTGTAGGAGAAAGCTGTAACAATGTCCCTGAGGCGGCGGATGCCAAGGCCACCCACGGGGAGGGGGCGGCAGATAGAGTCTAAACTCACCCAGTGGGTACGTCTCCCCCTCCCAGAACCGTCCTCGTAACCCCAAAAATAACGAGCCATAATCTGGTCAATCTCGTCAAGAGTAGACCTAGGGGTGTAGCGTCCCGTTCGAATATTAGATTTTTCTGATTTTCTTTGATTATGAGATTATATATATATATAATTATTAGGTGGATAAAATAATTATATTCTCGGTAAAATTCTATTCAGTAATCGGGCCAGTTTTAGAATTTTATTCTGGTCCGTTTATTTTAGAAATGGATTATTTGAGATTGTGTATTATCAATATTATGTATGGTTATTATTGTTATTCTTGTTATTGTTATTATTATTATTATCATTATTATTATTATTATTATTATTATTATTATTATTATTATTTTAAAAATATATATGTGAAATTTATTTAATTATTTTTCGGTTTTATCTATTTATCGTGCAATTAATCGAGCCCGAGTATACCGCGTGAATCAAACCGACCGCGAGCTTAATCAGTCCAAGACTCGGTTTCTCATTTCGTGTGATGTGTGTGCATGTGGGTAGATGTGAGAAAAGTCAAAACAACATTTTATATCATGAATATATAGATACGAATGTTGTATCTATCTCTCCTCAAGTGTACAGCTTCACATGTTCTTCCTTCTCCATCTTGTGCCCGAATAAAAAAACCTCATGATCCGTGAATCACTCAAGGAACATGTTGTTCCTCCTTCTTAAAACCTGATCTAGATATCTTCTCTTGGTCATCATACTCCTTCATCATTTTTTTCCCTCGCCTCATCTCTGTTCTCTCGCAAGCTCAGATTTCTCAAGCGCCATCATCACCTTCGTCATTTTCTTTTTCCGCGAGCAACACCCCAGCCCGAATTCCGGTGACCTTCCCCAACGAGCTCGCGACTAGCAGCAGCGATGACCCATCCTCAGCCGCTGCTGCACCTTCGTTCCATTGAGCCGACGTGCCGTTTGTCTCTTTTCGTTTCCTTTTTCGGAGTTCTGTTCGGCCGAGCCGTCGTTCGGCCCGTTTCTCCTCCGTTAGCTCGTAAATTTTCGAAAGTGGGTAACTTATTTCGAACCCTCTCGTTATTCCGGTCGTATTCGTATATTACATGATATATATATATATATATCATACGTGTTTCCGAATTCTTGTTTGAAGTCGGATTTATATATATATATATATATATATCTATCATACGTGTTTCCGAATTATTTGCTTGAAGTCGGATTTTGGTTAGAATTATTATCGGCTCGTATATGTCGTTTAGTTTATCGTGTTATGCTCGTGACCTTGTTAAACCGAATATCATGTTGTTACTATGTTAATCTCAATATACTCGTTTATTTGTTGTCGAGAAAGTCATATTAAACATGGTCGAGCTTAGAACATTCGTCATATGTGTTCATTGTTATTTCATGTGAAATCGCGTTTCTACTGTTCTGTTGTGACGCCGTTTAGGCCATCATAAACCTGTTCTTTGAAAATGTGGTCTTCATATGAAATGTTGTATGTTCAGTTTTCTAAACCTGGGATTTGAAATTTTTCAATTCCGAGCAATATCGATAAAGTTATGATTTTTACAAGATTTGTGTGCGTCCAGTTTTTCTGGTTACCCGGCAACTTATATATTTTAATGTGTGATCTGTTTTTCATGTCATAATGTACTCGTTTGAACTTAAACCCTTCATGAAAGTTGTAGATCTGTTTCCTACCTTTCAAATGAGATAAATTTCATGTCAATACATGCTCTGTAGCTCGAGTTGTTCTCGTATAAAGTTAGACATGCATGAGTTGGGACTTATTACTTTGGCAGACATCTGATATGGAATGTGAACTGATTTTACCATATCCAAATGATCTTAAATTCTTCTGTGTTTTTTAAATAAAATTTGTAGAGGCATGCGTAAGGTTTAATTTGAGATGTGAACCATGTCATTTGGAAGTTTGTAGCTCGGTCTAGGTTGTAAAAACTGAAGTGCCGTCCATATCACATGTTAGTTCTTGACAGATTTGCTAAACCAAATGTTTTGTGTTTAAAATCATTAAATATGTGTTTATTTGCCAAAGTGACCTTCATCAAAGTTGTATAAATTTGAGTTATCTATCATGTAGTTTTTGAATTTCATTAAAATCATGCCTGTAGCTCCAGTTAGAGAGTCATTACTGAGGGTTGGTCAAGTGCATTACCCCAGTTTTGGACTGTGACTCATTTTTGAATGTTTGTTGATTTATCACCTGCT